GGGGAAGTGCTCGGCTGGGGGCGCAGGGTCCAGAGGCAAGGGGGCTGCCCGAAGCCCAAGCGCTACCAGCTTCACGGTTTGCCGGGCAGCCTCCAGACCCTGTGCCCCCAGCCGGGCGCTTCCCCTCCCGGGCTCCAGCTGCGCTCGGGCAGCCCTTTTCGCGTGGCTGGGAGTGGGAGGGAGGAGGGGGCAGAGTTGGGGCGGGGAAGGGGTGGAGTTGGGGCGGGGAAGGGGTGGAGTTGGGGCGGGGCTGGGGGTGGGAAACGAGCGGGGCCAGGGCCCCGTGGAGGGTCCTCTTTTTTTATTTGTTAAATATGGTAACCCTATCAGAATCCTTCCCATCTAGTGTGTCCCATCACAGGCCATTGGGGATATCTGCTGGTAGCAGTCGAAGATCGGCTACATGCCATTGTCGGCAGTGTCATCACACCAGCCCCTCCCTACACTTATCGCGCTCAGTCTTGAAGCCAGCCCCCACTGCTCCCTGGGAAGGCTGCTCCAGAACTTCTCACACAAACAAGGGGGATGGCTGGCTGGCTTCTTACATTCCAGGCCAGAAAGGACCATTGTGATCATCTAGTCTGACCTCCTGGATAACACCGGCCAGAGAACTCCCCTGAAATAATCCGCTCTAGCTCAAACGGAGGTGGTTGTTTTTTAAAATCCAACCTTGATTTTAAAATAGCCAGTGACGGCAAGTCCACCAGACCCCATGGTAAACTGTACCAATGGTGAATTACTCCCACTGGTAACATGTACGCCTTATTTCCAGTCTGGATTTGTCTAGCTTCAATTTCCAGCCATTGGATATTTGTCTGCTAGGTCAGGAGTTCTTGGGGGTTTTCTTTCTGAGGCCCCCCCCAATACGCTATAAAAATTCCAGGGCCGAGCAGGGGGGCCTCTGGGCTTCAGCCACCGGAGAGCGAGGGGCTTGGGTTTTAGACATGCAGGGCGTGGGGCTCAGGGAGAGGGGGACTCGGAACTCTAGCCACTGGATGGGAGTTCAGGCTTCAGCCTTGCGGAGATGGGGGCTTTTTTCCTACAGGGCTGAGGGCTTGGGGCTTCTGCCCCATGGGGCGGGGGGCTCGAGGCCCCAGGCTTCAACCACTGGGGGGGGGGGGTTGGGGCTCTGGGCTACTGCCCTGGCTTTAGCCGTACAGGGCAGGGGGATTCGGGGATTTAGCCCTGCAAGATGTGGGGGTCAGGGTTTCTGCCCCATGGGGCGCTAGGGGTCAGGGCTCCCAGTTTAGCCCCGGAGGGCACCAGGGCTCCTGGCTTTAGCCCCACGGGGCACTGGGTCTCAGGGCTCAGCTGGAAGATGACTCCCCTTTCACGGTTACATTTGGAGACCTGTCAGTTGGCCAGTTTTAAATCCATTTAATGGAGCTCTCCCTCCCTTGCTCCTCCCCAGAGAATCGGAGCCTCTCCTGGGGCCAGCCCACCCAGCAGCATTTCAGACCGAGACATTTGTGACCCCGGACACTGCTCTTGTGACCACATTTCCGCCACGACGCAGCGTCACAAGCCCAGTGTGGTCCCACTGCGGGACAAGACCCGGGCTCCCTGCCTGCAAGAAACTGCCTGCTCCATTCTGCACCTTGCGCTCAATGACCGAGCCCCGGCAGGGCGGGACTGAAGCGGCGATGGGGCGACACCGTAAGTCAGACGCCATCGCCTCGCCACGGGGCTACGCTGAGTCGGCTGTTCAGTTTGGGAGACTCCATCATGCTCCGTTTGCCCCGGCTGACCTCACGCCCAAGCGAAGCAACCAGCCGCTTTGGACCCCACCCTCTTGCAGGCCCTACAGCCCATCCTAGCTCTGCAGATCCCATCCGGGGCCTGATCCCGGCGTGGGAGCAACCTCACAGCCTGGTCCCTCCTGCTGGCACATGGGGGCTCTGCAAAGTGCAGGGCCGGCTGCCGTCCTCCAGGTGACTTTCGGGTTTTTCCAAACGGGTCCCCCAGCCTTAATTTGAAACTGCTCTCTGCTCCAGGGCAGGGAGTTGGGGAACATGAGGTGCCAGGAGAATGTCGTCTCGTATCAGAGGTGCTGCCTTGGCACTACGAGTGTGGCATGGAATAGCAGAGCAAGCCATCTATTTCCCCACTCCGCCCTCCTGCCGAAAGGCCCCTCTCTCCCCGTTGGAGTCTCTCCATTTGTTTTCCCAGATCCCCAGTGAGGTTTCCTGGAAGGCCAGGGAGGCAACATTAAACGCCTTCTTTTTAGAGGAAAAAGTGACTCTCCTCTGGCCGCAAGCCAGAGGCCTGACTCAGAGCCGGAAGACGGCTTCATGCGACAGCGTGAAATCAGAACGCTCTGAGCTGCAGGCAAACACTTCCACAACAGAGCCAGGCGTACCACAGGAGGGAGGCTAACCAGCCCCTATGCTCCTGTCCAAACACGGTAACCTCCACACAACATGGACACACACACACACAGCACAACCACCATGCAGCACGTGCTTGCACACACACGCAGCCTGACACCCCAGAGCAACACCCACGCAATGCACATCCCAGTCCACAACCCCCAAACAACAAGCACACATAAACACAGCAACAGCCGTGCAATCGCACAGGGACCCCGCCGCAAGCGACAGCCCCGCAGTGTGCGCACGCACAAAATCACAACAATACCCCTGCCACAAGCGCACAGCGAGCCACACAAACACACAGCAACATGCATACGACAGGTGTCTGCCCATGCACACCCATGGAATGACAGACACACACACACAGCAACTCCCACACATTGTGTCTGCACCCATGTGCCCATGCAGCAACACTATGGGCAACGGGCATACTATTTCTTGATTAAGGATGGCAAAAAGTCCTCTCTGTACAGAGTGGGACACACAAACCTAGGAAGACACAGTTTGAGATGGGGGGGTTTGATGGATGGGGGGAGTTGATCCTACTTGTATAAGTAGGGGCATTGCCAGCAGCTTGAGGGACGTGATCGTTCCCCTTTATTCGACATTGGTGAGGCCTCATCTAGAGTACTGTGTCCAGTTTTGGGCCCCACACTACAAGAAGGATGTGGAAAAATTGGAAAGAGTCCAGCGGAGGGCAACAAAAATGATCAGGGGGCTGGAGCACATGACTTATGAGGAGAGGCTGAGGGAACTGGGATTGTTTAGTCTGCAGAAGAGAAGAGTGAGGGGGGATTTGATAGCTGCTTTCAACTACCTGAAACGGGGGTTCCAAAGAGGATGGAGCTCAGCTGTTCTCAGTGGTACCAGGTGACAGAACAAGGAGTAATGGTCTCAAGTTGCAGTGGGGGAGGTCTAGGTTGGATATTAGGAAAAACTTTTTCACTAGGAGGGTGGTTAAGCACTGGAATGGGTTCCCTAGGGAGGTGGTGGAATCTCCATCCTTAGAGGTTTTTAAGGTCAGGCTTGACAAAGCCCTGGCTGGGATGATTTAGTTGGGGGTTGGTCCTGCTTTGAGCAGGGGGTTGGACTAGATGACCTCCTGAGGTCCCCTCCAACCCTGATATTCTATGATTCTATGAAAGCGAGCGCGGTGAAGTCTTTTTTCGATTTCAGTGGGCTTTGGGTCAGGCCACAAATTCTTATACTTTCTACACCGTATTATTCATTTTTCGCCTTCAGTCCCTTGTTAGTTTTTTGTGCAGATGTAGCCGGGTTAAGTTCAGTCGAAAGCAAGCTCAGGCCACTGAACTGGTCCGTGG